GAGGACACCACAACAGATAGATATATAGATAGATAGAAATGAAGAGACTAAAATAGATAGATAGATATGAAGAGACTGAAATATATATATATATATATATATATATATATATACTTTCCCTGACGATCCGTTTAGGTGAAACCTAGGTAGGTTTGTCTGGCTCACTAGGTGTATCTAGGTCTGCTCTACGGTTGTATTGAGCTCTTTTGTTAGTTAGTTGTTACTCGTATCGGGGTTTTTTCTTTGGGCTTCAGACCTGCATCTGTGCGATTTTTTTGTCGGCAGAAGTTCATGTTTGTAGCTCTTTCTTTTTTAAAACTTTTTTTCCCTCGAAATTGATTTGATTAGCAAATCAAAAATTCGAGGGTTTTTCGAAACGAGTCTAGTTATCTATATTTATATATATATATATATATATATATATATATATATATATATATATATATATATATATATATATATATATATGTTAAACTTCGGATGCACTGAAATTAAACTAAATAGTACTGTACAGGACAACTTATTTTAACTGACTGGATTCTGTCATTCAACTTCATTGTCGATGTTTCGTTATATCGCTCTTTTCTTAGTGTATGTATGTGTTTGTGCTTCAGTATGTGTGCCGAAAAACACCTGTTTTCAGTCATCAAAATATAAACAAGAAAGCTTTACGTCTGTGTACACTGACGTGCCAAAAGTCATAGGATAACGATATAATATCGTGTATGACACCCCTCTAGTTGTGCGATGTGCAGCAACTCATGGCAGAGATTCCATGAATGATCGAAAGATCTCTACAGAGATCCCACCAGTCTGCACATCGATCTGACACCTGATGTCCTGGCCTCATAGACTCGAACCCTTTTATCATTTTAAAACAACTGAAACACTGACTCTATGCATCATGCCACACATTTTGGTCCTCCAGGATCAATTAGAGCTCATGTGAGGTACTGTGTTTGTCCTTCATTGAATGTGGATATAATTTGAACATCTATCGCTTGTCTTTTATTACAGAGAATTCTAGTTAGATGTCTTTGGTGAGGATAATTAAAGGCTAGTGATCAGATCGGCCAGTAAGGTGCCGTCGGTTGACGACAATGCACTCCCACACATATTCCCGGTAGACAAGATGGCTTTTAGATTGACTGACGTGAAATGACACCACAATTTCAGAAACAGAATATTCCATACGTCTAGAACACACCACCATACCACATTCAAACTTTGATAATTCAGTCGACTTTCTATTAGCAGCATAGTTGGTTTTCATACTGATTCACACTGGTCTGAGTATTTCCTTGACGCATGATGGCGCCAAATGCCATTACCTTTATACGTGCCTTTCAAATATCAACTTAACTCCACATTAAAGTCTGTAAGCACTCTTTTAATCACAGACTATTTTACATATTTAGTCTTGACCTGTAGAAATGCAAATTACGAAGACAATTCTATAAATCTTTCCATAACTTGAACTAGAAAATTATACCTTTAATTAAAATGCGATGGATAAACTGTCGTCTAAATTACGCTCTCTCTCTCTCTCTCTCTCTCTCTCTCTCTCACACACACACACACACAAATATTAATGGCATCTCATCTTAACTGACATATTTGCCAAAATTACAAAAAAATATCTTGAAATAAATTTATTCAATAAAATGGCCATTTGTTTCAACCACGACCTTCAGACTTCAAAATCTCCTGCAACTCTTCTGAACGGTCTTCTTGTTTAAGTTCGTGAATGCTGCCATAATCCTTGCCTTCAGGTCATCTTCAGTGTTACAAGGAGTTTTGTTGATCTCTCGCTCAACTGCGCCCGACATGTAATAATTAAGGCAGGGTTGCAGTCTGGGGAGTTAGGTTACCAGATGTAACGGTTTATGTGGTCGCAGAAATTCTCTAACAGCCATGACTGGGTCTTCCTGCTTGTGCGACAGGGTGCAGAGTCCTGTTGCCAGACATTAGGTTTACCAGCTGCCAACCTCTTGACCTCAGTGCACTTGATGTAGGCCTCCGTGTTGAGTCTAAGGCCCTCACCAACAAACTGTGGAGTTCTTTTAATATCAGAAAAGATCAGAGTGAGTTTTGCGTGCTGCCGTACCTTCGTAATCACCATTAGACTCATCCAACTCTTTCCGAATCCTGTGCTCTTTTTTTCAGATTGACACCCAAATACTCTGAAATGTTCGCATTGTAGTTTCCGGCGCAAATGCCAAGCAGTACAGTATGTTGTTTCGAAATTTCTGGCGGAGTGAATTACGTCATGGTGCTCATTTTCACACAGACGATGTCCAACTGAATTTACGATACTGTACATTCGACAAAATCAAAAACAAACAACGCGCATGTGCTAAATTAAAAATATAAAGTAGCCACAATTTACCCATCGCACTCTGTACTTTATTCTGTTTGTGTCATATTTCATGAAACCAGAATTTTTATTAGGTTGAGGCATCATCAATAATGTCCGCTTTTTTCTTTATTATCTTCATTTTCTGGTAAAAGTAAAGCACGATTACGTTTTATTCTATTTCATTTTTATTTGTAATGACTTGTTGCCACCATTTTTGCAACTATTCGATATCTTTTTAGTAAAACTTTGTATGTTTTGAAAAAAGTTGAAACGTTTTCGACGGACTCTTAAATTTGGTTTTACCAGACAAAGTTCCCCCGCTCGCCGCCATCAAAGCGTTTTGCAGCAATCGAAAATAAAGTTATAATCTATTGGTACATGGTGAGGTGAATACACCTATGATTAGTAGTTGGAGTGATACATCCGTCATTAGAATTGCTTCCCAAAAGCGGAAGTTACTTATTGATATATTACATTGTTTTGTTTTTGTTTTTTTTTATAGAGGATTTAGTGTGGTTGTAGGGTTATTAGAGACTATGAGGTCAACTGTTTTAAATTTTTTATAATGTATGATGAGCTTAACTTGTTTATTATTATTATTGTTATTAATGGGTTTAACATTTCTACCGATTATGTTTTTGAGCATTACTTCATCATGCTTGTAATTAGTATGCATTTGGCTACAAGAATATAAATTAGTATTATGTTTATTTTGACGTATACTGTGGTTACAACTGTTATTAATATTATCAATTTTGCTGGAGGTATTATTAAGTTTATTGAGATTCGTTTTAATTTGTTGATCAATGACGGAATTAGGGAATCCATTATTAACGAATGTTTGTTTGATGTTATGTAATTCTTTATAGAATATGGTTTTGGAAGAAGATATTATTTGTGTGCGTTGGATTAAGTTTTTTTATAACATATATACATATTACATCTTACATATATAGGGGGTTTATTAGTGTTATTAAGTATTATATTTTCTAAATGTGCCATATAATAATTAGAAAAAAGAGAGCCTAAAATGGATCCCATCGCGATACCATGTATTTGAGTATAAATATTACCTAGAGAGATCATGAAAAGGTACTTGAGTGGTACATGCTAATAATAATTTTTTTAAATAATGGATTTGATATTGACGAGTGGGAGAGAAGTGTGGTTCTATACATCACGGACGATGATGTCAAACGTTTCATTGATAGGGACATTAATAAATAAATTTTGTACATTCAAAGATGCAATTATTTGGTTAGTTGGCTTTACAGCATGAAGAATTTGTAAAACTTCGTTTGTGGAGTTAATAAAATATTTACTTAGGATGTAGGGAGTAATTAATTTGTTAAGGGTTTTTGAAAGATAATATACTGGTGTAGGTGTTTGTGAAATGATAGGTCAAAGGGGATGATCTTTTTTTATAGATGTTTACATTTCCATAAGTGTAGCCAGGTTGATAGTCACCTCTAATCTTTTGAAGTTTATAAAATCCTGTTTCAGCATTGTTAGCAGTAATAAGTTTATTGATATGGTTTTTAATTTGAGAGGTGGTGTTATCGGTTAACTTTTTTAATTTATTATGATCATCCAAAATGGCCTGTAATTTTGAGTGGTACTCATGTTTGTTTAAAATAACGAAAGTATTACTTTTATCAGCCTGTCAGATAACAATACGGTTGTTATTTTTTAGTTATGTGGCTGCTTTTATTAAAGGGGTGTTTATAATTCCATTTGGATTTGTACGATATCAGTATTTAATAGATTCAGCTTTAAGTAATTCTTTCAAACCTACTTGTGTAGTAATATGGTTATATTGTTGCAATAGAAGTATTTATTGGTATAAAGCTTTAATTTACGTTTGTTTTAACAAAGCTACCCACACTCAACAAAATTTAATTTCAAACCAGACATAAGTCATAGCAATGCATTTAAACATATGGTTGAATTGATAATATTTCTTTCTCACGTGGTCATGTACGACGTCATGGAACCGTGTTATGAATTTACGACCTGCGTCTGCTATTCAGCGACCGTTATCCACGCATAGCAAACTTTTATGTAAACATAACAGGATATCATCTTTGACGGTGAACATATCTGTTGTTATGTCCATATAACCAATGTGATGATGACTCATGTGAGCCGAAAGCTTAGATCGACTACCAATATTATAAAGAAACCTCCAAATGTCGGACAGTTTTTGTCTTTATTTTCTCTTGAAATTAAAAGCATTATACGACGCTTGGAACGGCTCATGATAATATATAATACACATTCGTTGTCTGTTATATTTAACAATATATGTCTGAATATATATATATATATATATATATATATATATATATATATATATATATATATATATAAGGTCAGAGTTGAATCAGAGCAGGAAACAATAAAGAAATATAAAATAAAAGTAAATATAACATATAGAGCTTCTAACTTTAAAAATTATTTATTTTTAAAAATAATAGTACAGCGTTAAATAGTTTTTTTTTAAAAAAAAAATAAAGCTTCATGAGGTCATTTGACAAAAAATCGCCGTACGGTTGAAACCAAGAGAGCGGAGTCAACTGACCTCCTGATTTTTAAAGTATATATATATTGATTATACATTACGGATAATTTTGTGCCTCACGATTGATAGATAGATAGATAGATAGATAGATAGATAGATAGATAGATAGATAGATAGATAGATAGATATCGACAGACGAGATATACATAATGCACCGATGCATACGCCTATTTGCTTTCTAACTTAAATATACAGATGTCTATGGTTTTCGAATGGATAAATTCTCATCAAATCGCTTTTTCCGTTAACTGAATCAACGCCGTCTGCGCATGCGCCATGTTGCATAAATTGGTCTGCGCATGCGTCCTTATTATTCCAGTTAAATGATTACAGAATCCATTTCTTGGTCAGTAGAATGAGCGTTGCCCAGAAGTTTACGTGCGATTACTTCTCAGATTTGAACTACGTTTTTTAACTTAAAACTATATGTAGAAGATTGTTTCCTGATATATAAGTGTGTGCTTGTTTTATTGAAAATATCAAACCTTTTGTGCATATACATGTGTGTGTGTGTGCGCGCGCGGTGGAGAAGTACAAGACAAACTTAGATAGATTAGATGTAAATATAATTTATACAATATTAAGGGACCTATATGTTAACTGAGATTCCAACTGCATTTCCCACTTACGTAACTTATCGGTCTTCGATCCTATGTAAGAACTTAGGTTTCTTCGGTCCTATTTAAGAGCTTAGGTTTCGAAACCTGATTTCCAAAGTAAGCCTAATTCCGTTGAAAGTGTGCGCGACGTATCCTATATTTTTATTACGTGTGTATTTCAATATAGTGAACTTTTCATTAAAAGGCATATTTAAGTAAATTTTCGTGTACATGTTGAAATTGTATGATATGACACCAATTCGTAATAATCACATGGGTTGAATTCGAACTTTACAAGGTATGTAGCTATATGCAATAATACATAATAAAGAAATATGTTCATAGATAGACTTATATATGTTATCATTCCGGTTTGGATTGATATGTCTTCAAATTATCATTCGTTTAAGGATAGACGTGTAGCACTAACTGACGCTGATCTAGTGTATATATATATGTATGCATGTATGTGCATGATACAGTATATACGGATGTATATATATACGTATATGAAAATGCGTATATATATATATATATATATATATATATATATATATATATATGCATGCATTAGTAACTTTTTTTTCTATTTCAATGTTCAGTCAAGCAAATAACTAAGTTTCGGGATTGTACTTCCAAATAGTTTCCAGTAATGACACAGTCATTAGCACGGTAAAGTCTGCAGACTTATCAAAATGACCGAATTTCCGATTAGAACATGTCCATTATTAACGACATTATATATTATATATATATATATATATATATATATATATATATATATATATATATATATTATATTATTTCTAGTTACACAGATTAATGTAACTATCATCATAAACACATAGACGTGCGCTTTTGCATGTATGCGTGTGTTCCTTGATTATGTCTGGTCGTATCTTTTCGGGCGTGTAAGGTTTAATGATTTACATATCTAGCCATTCCATCATGATTATTATTATAAAACTCGACCCCATCTCCCTCTCTCCCTCTCTATCTATCTATCTATCTATCTATCTATCTATCTATCTATCTATCTATCTAAATATCTGTCTCTAATCAGAAAAAAGTTTCTAAATCTGAAAAATAAGCAAATATTGAGAAATACATGGATAAAATTGGTTTGATAAATATGAGTAAACTAAGATTGACTGAATTTGATTGAGAAGCAACGTGGATTGACAGTTCTCTTTTTAATAGATTTGCTTTTGCTTAAACAAAGAAAGGAAAGGATGTGAAGATGGTCTATTGGATATTGGTTCGGAATGAGAAATCGAAGTGTCGTGTTCTTTTACATTCATTTACACCCAAAAACACATGGGAAAGGTATGAATCTATTTCCTCCCTCCAAATATGGGTTAAATAGTATGATTTGTATCTGGAAAAATTATTGTTATTCTAGAAAATTAAGAAGCGGAAAACATGATTTGAAAATTGTATAAAGACGACACCTTTTATATGCAGACTCTCTTCAAGTCTGTCAAATATACCAAAATTATTTTAGTTTTATAACATATTCTACAAAAGGAATCTTTAGATGATCCTGTGCTGTTTGTTGACTTTTCCTTTACCTTTCGTTTAAAAGAATCAAAATCATCACCTGCTAACCGATCAGTTACAGGCTTTATCACCTATAAAAACGATTCAACCAGTTTTAGTCAGTAAAGTTCATTTTATTCGCCTTCTCGAATTCTGTGAGCATATACATCAAATTTGTGAACCAGTAATGTCTCCACATTTGCCAAAAACGCAATATTTTTATCGGCCATTTTATTTTCTGGAACTGAACATACTGCTGATTATTATTAATAATTGTATGTAATAATAATTATGTAGTGGTAGATTTTTTTAAGCGAAAAATATTCGAATATCCCTTAGTTTATTTCCATATATTTAAAAGCTTAATATCGCCTAAGGCTATCACAATTGAGCACCTCGTCAAGAATGAATTCAATATACGACTATATATATATATATATATATATATATATATATATATATATAATATATATATATATATATATATATTTAATTATGAAATTTATAATAAAAGTATTAAAAATTTATCAGCCGGAACGTCCGATAAATTTCATACAAAATATGTGTCCCCCAACAGGTATGTAACCTGAAGCGTCATATAGCGCGCGGTGGTATACCATTTAGCTACAGAAGAAGCGTCTGGTAAGCAAGGTCGAATTAATTCTATTAAACTACAAATTTCCCATGATTTCTCTGGAACGCTCATATCTGCTCGTAGCGTTTCTTAACGTATATTGCATGTATAAAATAACGTATAAACAGTATATATATATATATATATATATATATATATATATATATATATATATATATATATATATATATACTCTACAACAAATGCCTTGCTGCTTCTTGCTTTCCAAAATCATGTTCTGTAGTACGTTTTCTTTAAGAACTCTGATGGACCTTCTTAATTATTGTCCTATTTATATTTTACCTCTTTTTGGCAAAGTACTAGAGGCTCTAATCAACTCTCAATTCGTTAAGCATCTCACTTCACACGGCTTTCTTCCAGATAACCAATACTGCTTTCGTTTCTCAGCCACAATTGTGTAATTCATTTATCAAACTATACATAAGAACGGCTAGGCTTGCTCTGTGTTTTCAGTGGTAGACAGAGTTTAGCATGCTGGCCTTCTTCACAAGCTCAAGGATTGTGTAGTTTCTAGCCGAACATTTGATTTGTTCCAATCGTTCTTAACAAATGCTTCTGATCCCTTTCGCATTAATACCGGGTTCCTTTTCACTACGTTGTTTCTTATCTCCATCAATGCACTTCCCAGTGTCATCTGTTCCCAATTCAGTATATATGCTGATGATGATACAACTATTTACTTCTATCTTAATAGTAAGTCCAATAAGGACCTGCAAAGCAAAACTGGCAGCTGCTCTCGAAAATGACAACTAATCTCTAGTTAACTGCTGCAAGAAATGGCTTATAAAGTTAAACGTCCCCAAAACGAAATAGCTATCACTTAATCCTTATAGAGAACCATTTTTTGCCTTCACTCAGCCTGGCTGATGCTAACATCCAGGAGAACAACTCATTACGCCTTCTTAAATTCACTTTTTCCACTGACATGAAGTGGATTGATTTTTATTGAATCAGTTGCTACGTCTGCCGATAAGACCGTTGGTTAACTGTGTCGTGCCAGGCACTTTTCTCGGCAGACTTCATCTTGCACATTTCTAAATCAACCATTCGTCTGTGCATTAAATATTGCTGCCATATCTGACCTGGTGTTCATGCAATATCTCTAGAAATTCTTGACAAAATCCAAAGAATGATCTGTAATATTATCGTTCCTGACCTGGCATCTCGACATCAGTCAATTCCCCACCGCCGTGACATAGCTTCCTTCTGTCTTTTCTATATTTTCATGGCAATTGTTCTAATCAGTTCTCCTCTTTGATAGTTCGACCGCATGAATTTACATTTTGATACTAGATTGATTACGAGGTCTCATCTGTTGGCTTCCTTTATGGCTGAATACAGTTTCTTCTTTCATTTCTTTGACACAGATCATTATACAGTCGTATGTAGTTTCCAGGTATCTTTGAATGACGATTTATGTAGTTTTGTAAGACAGTTGTAGTTAAACTAATCCTCTGACTCTTTCGTATCTGGACACATACAGACGATAAACACCAGCTTTAAGATAACGCATGTTGTAGCAAATGAGAAGCTTTCTCGTTTTGACGTCTATTCGCTTAATGTAAGCTATGGTCCAATTGAAACTGTATTGCACCACAAGCACAGCCAAGGTGTTTATGGCTGATATTCTGTTCTGTGAATACATCACAGTATTCAACATCAGACACACACATCTTTTCTTATTATCTCCTTCATTTGGTTATACTGTATACCATCTCCTGCGTTAATTCCTAGGTACCTACAGGATTCTTCTTGTTCTTGTTCTTCTAATCTTTGTGACAAAATCTAGATCTGTTGAGTATGTTTCTCTAATTCCCCCTTTCTTGAATGTAACTTTTGCACATTTATCTAGTTCGAAATGCATAGCTATGTCGTCACTGAAACATTTTTCAGTATTGAGGAGAGTCGTTTGAGATTAAATAATTTCTTGTTTACTTTGTATCCCTAGTTATTATTCTTTAGTCCATGCGAAAGGGAAGTTAAGAAAAGACAAAAATAAAGGGGGTGACAGGGAGTCTCCTTAAAGGCGGTTGGAAGTGGCAGTGCTTTTGCTGTGATTTAAGTGTAATGTGGGTTTTCCACATTCCCATGCTGTGTTTAAATTTACAATCACCGAGGAAAATTTATACATTTCCAAAGCCTTAAGGATCCAAGAACATGGCACATTATCAAAGGCTTTATGGTAGTTTATCCATGCTGTGCTAAGATTTCTACCTCATTTCCTGCAATTTTCCAGGATCATTTTGTTTATCAATAGTTGACCTTTACAACCATGTGAACCTCTCCGACATACCTTCTGATCCAAGGGAAAATGTTATTTTCATCGAGAAAAGAGTAAGTATAGTTCGTTAGGACAGACGTGATCAAATT